AATCCAAAAGGTCCCCCCTTCTCTCCTAAAAGGGAAGGCTTAAATCTTGTATGTGCTGCCAAATGCCACCCGTTACAGTTAGAGACTCCGGAAAGGGCGCGTTGTACGCCCCTCGGTGTGGACTTGAAAGTGTATAAGCAGCTCTGAACCGATAACTTGAAAGGAAGACCGAGAAAATTGCGAAATACTGAAACTGCCTGAAAAAGGGGTGAAAATAAATCTTAAGATACCTGCCAAATGCCACACGTTACAGTTAGAGACTTCCGGTTTGCGTCATTTAGACGTCCCTAGGTGTGGGCTTGCAAGTGTAGAAGCACTGAAGCGATAACTTGAAATCCAGCTTTTTTCTTAAAATCCAAAAGGTCCCCCCTTCTCTCTTAAAAGGGAAGGCTTAAATCTTGTATGTCCTGCCAAATGCCACCCGTTACAGCTAGAGACTCCGTAGAGGGCGCTTTTACGCCCCTAGGCCATGGCTACAAAAGTGAAAAGGAGCACTTTTGCGATAACTTTAAAGGAATCCGAGAAAACTCCGAAATACCGAAACTACATGAAAAGGGAAAACCTAAATCTTGTATGTCCTGCCAAATGCCACCCGTTACAGTTAGAGACTCCGGAAAGGGCGCGTTGTACGCCCCTCGGTGTGGACTTGAAAGTGTATAAGCAGCTCTGAACCGATAACTTGAAAGGAAGACCGAGAAAATTGCGAAATACTGAAACTGCCTGAAAAAGGGGTGAAAATAAATCTTAAGATACCTGCCAAATGCCACACGTTACAGTTAGAGACTTCCGGTTTGCGTCATTTAGACGCCCCTAGGTGTGGGCTTGCAAGTGTAGAAGCACTGAAGCGATAACTTGAAATCCAGCTTTTTTCTTAAAATCCAAAAGGTCCCCCCTTCTCTCCTAAAAGGGAAGGCTTAAATCTTGTATGTGCTGCCAAATGCCACCCGTTACAGTTAGAGACTCCGGAAAGGGCGCGTTGTACGCCCCTCGGTGTGGACTTGAAAGTGTATAAGCAGCTCTGAACCGATAACTTGAAAGGAAGACCGAGAAAATTGCGAAATACTGAAACTGCCTGAAAAAGGGGTGAAAATAAATCTTAAGATACCTGCCAAATGCCACACGTTACAGTTAGAGACTTCCGGTTTGCGTCATTTAGACGTCCCTAGGTGTGGGCTTGCAAGTGTAGAAGCACTGAAGCGATAACTTGAAATCCAGCTTTTTTCTTAAAATCCAAAAGGTCCCCCCTTCTCTCCTAAAAGGGAAGGCTTAAATCTTGTATGTGCTGCCAAATGCCACCCGTTACAGTTAGAGACTCCGGAAAGGGCGCGTTGTACGCCCCTCGGTGTGGACTTGAAAGTGTATAAGCAGCTCTGAACCGATAACTTGAAAGGAAGACCGAGAAAATTGCGAAATACTGAAACTGCCTGAAAAAGGGGTGAAAATAAATCTTAAGATACCTGCCAAATGCCACACGTTACAGTTAGAGACTTCCGGTTTGCGTCATTTAGACGTCCCTAGGTGTGGGCTTGCAAGTGTAGAAGCACTGAAGCGATAACTTGAAATCCAGCTTTTTTCTTAAAATCCAAAAGGTCCCCCCTTCTCTCCTAAAAGGGAAGGCTTAAATCTTGTATGTGCTGCCAAATGCCACCCGTTACAGTTAGAGACTCCGGAAAGGGCGCGTTGTACGCCCCTCGGTGTGGACTTGAAAGTGTATAAGCAGCTCTGAACCGATAACTTGAAAGGAAGACCGAGAAAATTGCGAAATACTGAAACTGCCTGAAAAAGGGGTGAAAATAAATCTTAAGATACCTGCCAAATGCCACACGTTACAGTTAGAGACTTCCGGTTTGCGTCATTTAGACGTCCCTAGGTGTGGGCTTGCAAGTGTAGAAGCACTGAAGCGATAACTTGAAATCCAGCTTTTTTCTTAAAATCCAAAAGGTCCCCCCTTCTCTCCTAAAAGGGAAGGCTTAAATCTTGTATGTGCTGCCAAATGCCACCCGTTACAGTTAGAGACTCCGGAAAGGGCGCGTTGTACGCCCCTCGGTGTGGACTTGAAAGTGTATAAGCAGCTCTGAACCGATAACTTGAAAGGAAGACCGAGAAAATTGCGAAATACTGAAACTGCCTGAAAAAGGGGTGAAAATAAATCTTAAGATACCTGCCAAATGCCACACGTTACAGTTAGAGACTTCCGGTTTGCGTCATTTAGACGTCCCTAGGTGTGGGCTTGCAAGTGTAGAAGCACTGAAGCGATAACTTGAAATCCAGCTTTTTTCTTAAAATCCAAAAGGTCCCCCCTTCTCTCCTAAAAGGGAAGGCTTAAATCTTGTATGTGCTGCCAAATGCCACCCGTTACAGTTAGAGACTCCGGAAAGGGCGCGTTGTACGCCCCTCGGTGTGGACTTGAAAGTGTATAAGCAGCTCTGAACCGATAACTTGAAAGGAAGACCGAGAAAATTGCGAAATACTGAAACTGCCTGAAAAAGGGGTGAAAATAAATCTTAAGATACCTGCCAAATGCCACACGTTACAGTTAGAGACTTCCGGTTTGCGTCATTTAGACGTCCCTAGGTGTGGGCTTGCAAGTGTAGAAGCACTGAAGCGATAACTTGAAATCCAGCTTTTTTCTTAAAATCCAAAAGGTCCCCCCTTCTCTCCTAAAAGGGAAGGCTTAAATCTTGTATGTGCTGCCAAATGCCACCCGTTACAGTTAGAGACTCCGGAAAGGGCGCGTTGTACGCCCCTCGGTGTGGACTTGAAAGTGTATAAGCAGCTCTGAACCGATAACTTGAAAGGAAGACCGAGAAAATTGCGAAATACTGAAACTGCCTGAAAAAGGGGTGAAAATAAATCTTAAGATACCTGCCAAATGCCACACGTTACAGTTAGAGACTTCCGGTTTGCGTCATTTAGACGTCCCTAGGTGTGGGCTTGCAAGTGTAGAAGCACTGAAGCGATAACTTGAAATCCAGCTTTTTTCTTAAAATCCAAAAGGTCCCCCCTTCTCTCCTAAAAGGGAAGGCTTAAATCTTGTATGTGCTGCCAAATGCCACCCGTTACAGTTAGAGACTCCGGAAAGGGCGCGTTGTACGCCCCTCGGTGTGGACTTGAAAGTGTATAAGCAGCTCTGAACCGATAACTTGAAAGGAAGACCGAGAAAATTGCGAAATACTGAAACTGCCTGAAAAAGGGGTGAAAATAAATCTTAAGATACCTGCCAAATGCCACACGTTACAGTTAGAGACTTCCGGTTTGCGTCATTTAGACGTCCCTAGGTGTGGGCTTGCAAGTGTAGAAGCACTGAAGCGATAACTTGAAATCCAGCTTTTTTCTTAAAATCCAAAAGGTCCCCCCTTCTCTCCTAAAAGGGAAGGCTTAAATCTTGTATGTGCTGCCAAATGCCACCCGTTACAGTTAGAGACTCCGGAAAGGGCGCGTTGTACGCCCCTCGGTGTGGACTTGAAAGTGTATAAGCAGCTCTGAACAGATAACTTGAAAGGAAGACCGAGAAAATTGCGAAATACTGAAACTGCCTGAAAAAGGGGTGAAAATAAATCTTAAGATACCTGCCAAATGCCACACGTTACAGTTAGAGACTTCCGGTTTGCGTCATTTAGACGTCCCTAGGTGTGGGCTTGCAAGTGTAGAAGCACTGAAGCGATAACTTGAAATCCAGCTTTTTTCTTAAAATCCAAAAGGTCCCCCCTTCTCTCTTAAAAGGGAAGGCTTAAATCTTGTATGTCCTGCCAAATGCCACCCGTTACAGCTAGAGACTCCGTAGAGGGCGCGTTTTACGCCCCTAGGCCATGGCTACAAAAGTGAAAAGGAGCACTTTTGCGATAACTTTAAAGGAATCCGAGAAAACTCCGAAATACCGAAACTACATGAAAAGGGAAAACCTAAATCTTGTATGTCCTGCCAAATGCCACCCGTTACAGCTAGAGACTCCGGAAAGGGCGCGTTGTACGCCCCTCGGTGTGGACTTGAAAGTGTATAAGCAGCTCTGAACCGATAACTTGAAAGGAAGACCGAGAAAATTGCGAAATACTGAAACTGCCTGAAAAAGGGGTGAAAATAAATCTTAAGATACCTGCCAAATGCCACACGTTACCGTTAGAGACTTCCGGTTTGCGTCATTTAGACGCCCCTAGGTGTGGGCTTGCATGTGTAGAAGCACTGAGGCGAGGTGCGTATTTCATGCAACAACTTTGACGCATTGCCATTAAGCAACGAACGTTTGTACTCCGATGCGATTTTTAGTTCTTGACGAGGTATTATCAGGGGTCATTATGAAAAAAAAATTTGGTCGAAAAAAACTCACAATCAGGAGTGATTGATGAAAAACCGCACGCCGGTAGTATTTTTTTAGGGGGGTCTAATCAAAGTGGACCACACTGTACGCAAGTTGAGTAAGTCAACCATGAAGTGTGCGCATCCAATATCTTTGCATGGTTAAAAAACTTTATCACAATACAAATTTGATGAGGTCACTTCTTGGTTCACCTGATCGTGTGTAGTAAGTTAGTTCAAGTAGGGCATACCCTGTATACGTAACATTCGTGCGAAGCTCATCTATGTATAATTTATTAATAATTGTAACATATTAAAAAATATTAAATTATTTATGTAAGTGTGAAACATATCCAGGAAAAGGCTCGGCATGAAACGTAATTCTTGGTTACGTCATAGTCTCTGTATCTATGAAAAGCAAGGAAAATATTAAAACAGCATAAGATCGAGTCAAATATGCAAAATGTTTACAGTTGTCTGTGGCAGTTGCGGTTTTTTATATGTACGTAATAATAGGTCTGATTTCTTATTTGTGACAATAGATGCTTATCTCATCATTTTTACCATCAGGGTAATTCCCGTTCAATATTCTTATGTAAAACCGCAACCGCCAACTCGACCATACTCCTGTTTTCTGGAATTTCTAATAACAGTATTTAGAACCGATTTTCCTGACGAAACTCATCATTATTTAATCAGATTTCGTAGTTAACATAAATCTGGTTAACAGAAAAGATGTTGCCAAAACGAATCTCAATTATTCATGCGAGTATCGTTTTGTTTGCTGGATCGAGAGTGAAGTCCAAATTCCAGCGAACCACTCGGCTCCAAAATTACAGATACCGATGGATTACGTGGAGAAAGTGGAGTCAGAAAGTGAGACCTATGCCGTTCGAAATGTGAGGAAAAGTGGGAATTTTGTCATTAATTGCACAAGTAATCAACCCGTCGACTGGAGGTTTAAAGGATCCATTGTAAGATTTAAATTTATTATTTCATGTTATTTTAATGCAATGACACTAATTGGAAATATAAATTTTGTCTACTAGGGGAACACGTTGGTGAAATCGGAGCGGTCAATGACATTTGAGGAGTACGATGGCGACAGAGGGTTCAAGGGAGCATGTTTTTATAGTTCGCTAATATTTTCAAAAATTGAGAATGAAATATCTGGCCAGTATTTTTGCATCGTAAAGCCCAAACTGGATTTAAATCCGTACAAACAGCAGGGTTTACAACGGAAAATTACTCTACTGTCAGGTATTTTTTAAATTATAATCATAAAACCTATTAATTCTCTCGCCTTTAATTTGACATACACTCTCAAAAATGTAGCGTACTTCTCGAAAAGTAAAAATGAATGTAACCCTAAACCGAGAATAAGAAGGTATTTTAAGAGTAAGTTCAGTTGCTCTAAATCTAGTAAGCGATCCTTCTAACTCTGAAAAAACCATACTTGGCAATAACTTAAAAATGAGTCCACATCTACCCCCATTAAAGTTAGTAGAACTTCATTGCGAGTAAGCCTACCGCAATTCACCCGCCCTTCTTGATTTGCACTTTGGACTTTATTAGTCTATTCCAGATTTACACATTTCCCTCATTTATTCCGGAATTTACATTCCTATTTTTAAAATTCCAAAATGTGTGATGCGGAGATTCAAAGATTGTTAACTCAACTTAATCTTGGAAAATACTGTCAGTTGTTTAAAGGTAAGATCTATTTTAAATTCCATTCTACATTTTTTAAAGTTAAAACTCTTAGTTTTGCACGTTTTTTTAACAGACAACAATCTAACCGACGATTCTTTACAACACCTTCAAAAAGATGACCTCATCCACGTCGTTCCAGTCCTTGGTGATCGGATTCTGATATGGAATGGAATAAATAAGTTGCAGTCTGATTCGGTATATGTTTGTTTTGTTTGTGAAAAGAGATTTAAACTTTTAAAATTGTATTCTGATCACTTAAAAAATGATCATAAATTACTGGGAGCCGATTCACATAGGTGTGTTCATTGTGGTGGCTTATATCAAAGAAAGCCATACATCAGCCATTTAAAAAATGCTTTCAAGTTCCATAAGTTGCTATTGAGTGAAAATTTTCTCCCTGAAAATTACGAGGAAAGAAATCCACCAATTGAAAATATGAAAGTAGTTCACGCAGATTTTCTTGACCGAAGTTTCACAAAAGATTGCGACAATGATATTAACAAAGAACTTCGTGAATTAATTTTCAAATTGATTGCAGGAATTTTGCGTTCAGGAAAGGTCCCAATGAGCACAAAAGACGAGATTTTAACTTTAATTAAGGAGTTTACCGTAATGATCTTAGGAGAGGCTGTTTGCAGATCCATTATAATATTAAAAAGTAACGAAACATTAAGTGAAAAGTTATTTAAGCTTGAACAAATTAAAAACTTAGCTCACGTGTTCTCTTCGTTTGATAGTAAACACAAGTTAGACAAGCTTTTAATTGACGGAAATTTGTTTATTCCTGCTCGAGAAATAGTTTTGGACACAGATTTACATTTTCCATTAAAAATTGGGAACCAGCGACAAGTTTACAGACCAATTAAGCTTCAATGTTTCAATACGTGACTCAATTTTCCAATTATTACAGAAACCAGGCTTTTACGACATACTTGACAAACAACAGTCATATTCAGGGAGAAAATTTTCATCATTTCGAGATGGAAAGTTTTTTCGCGATTCCAACTTTCCATCTCAGGTAATTTTTATAAATATATACTTTGACGAGGCTGAGGTTGCTAATCCTTTGGGGTCCAAAAATGGGAAACATAAGTTGGCAAACTTTTACTATTCAATCCAAGATATGCCTTGTCATTATAATAGTTCAATTGAAAACATAATATTGCTCTGTTCCCTTAAAAGTGAGGATTTAAAGATATTATCTCCAAACTCGGTTATGAATATCATTGTCAAAGAGCTTTTATTTCTTTGGGAAACTGGGATAAATTTCAATCACAATGGCAAAACTATTAATATCAAAGTTGCATTGTCCCAAATATCGGGTGACAATTTAGGATTGCACACCATATTAGGTTTTTCCGAGGGATTTAATGCCAATTATCCATGCAGGCGTTGTAAAATGCATAAGCATGATTGTCAAACCGCTGTGACCGAAAACCCCGGAGTATTGCGATCAATTGAGAATTATAATCAGGATGTTGAATTTAGAAATCTTTCTGCTACTGGTATAAATTTTGAATCCGTGATAAATTCACTTCCATATCACCACGTAACGAAAGTGTTCGTGTTCGATATTATGCACGACCTACTGGAAGGGGTAGTTCCTGATTTACTCAATTTAATGATCAGTTTAGGAATTAAAAACAAGCGTTTCAATTTGGATAAGCTGAATTATCGAATTGAATCCTTTGATTATGGACGGCACTTCCGTAGAAGTAAACCGTCTCAAATTAAAGCCTCAGTGCTAAAGGGTGACACAAAGTCAGGACAAAATGCTTCTCAAAATTTGTGTTTGCTCGTCTCTTTACCGTTAATACTTGGCGATTTAATGCCACACGATGATCCTGTATGGAAACTATTTTTGCTATTACGAGAAATTTGTGACATAATTCTTTCGCACATTATTACGAAGGGTGGCCTTATTTACTTGGACTCTCTTATTTCTGAATTCTGTTGTAATTATCAAGAATTATTCAAACGAAAACTGAAACCTAAACATCATCATCTTCTTCATTATTCAGGTTCAATTGTTCAAATCGGTTCTCTAAGGCAGTACTGGAGCATGACTTACGAAGCTCGACACAAAGTATTCAAAACTACAGCGCATACGGTGTGCAATTTTAAGAATATACCCAAAACATTGGCTTATAGGCATCAGCTTGGGCGATGTTTTTCTTTAATCTCAAAAAATGTATTTTCACCGTGCACATTCGTAGTCCCTAAATACGAATTTATTCAGTTGAATGACTTTGTGCATGCTGAGCTTGTGGCTGATCATTTCCATTTCCAAGAAAATCCTATAATCAAAATATCAAATCTTGTTGAATCCAATAATTCTGAATTTAGAGTAGGAGGTTTTGTAATATTGAAATATTGCACGCTTTTCCCAGAGTTCGGGAAAATTGAAGGAATTTTATTAGAGGACGACGATTGTACTTTCATAGTAACCGAATTTTCTAGCAAGCTTGTGACACATTTGTCAGCCTACCAAATTTGTAAGTCGAATAAAATTCGATTAGTAGATCTGCATGCAATTAAGCATTACCAGCCCTTATACACAATGCATTCGTTTTTTGACAATGATGTCAACGAATATATTAGTGTTCCATTTAAATTAGTTTGAGTAATTCAATTTATTTTTATTACCAAGGTCTGACGTAAATGAATACCGAACTAATCCACTAAATTAACATAAATTTTAAGTACTTTGATATAATATAATAATTTATTTTGTGACAAGCGCGTCGAAGACGACAATCAAAGTTTGTTCACTTCCTCATTGATAAGCAACCGAGAACTTCTTGAACGAGGACTAAGATTACCAACCGACATTCTGCTATCCAAAAGGGCAGAATTATCCTCCCCATCATCTTCTATTACTCATCAGGTACGAATGAAAAATAACCAAATTTTCTAGCTGCTCAGTTTATTAATTTGTATTATTTTATATTTAGCAACTACCTTCAAGTCAAACGATTTTTCTTGAAGTAATCAGAGAGAACGAACCGTTAAGCCAAAATTCCACTGCATCAACTTCAGATTCCATAGAATTGGCCACCACTTCTGGTTCCTCATTCACAAGACCAGTGGAATCCAGCCCGGTTATAAATACTAAATTAAATATTTTAAGTACATTGTTCTCTTCCATATTTTTTGTGTGCTCAATACGATTATCTGGCTTCGTCAATTTCAGAGCGCTCCCATACATGAACATCGATTTTATAATTTCGTAAGTCTTCGACAAGTGTTGCAAGTTTCTGGGTTGCTAAGCTTTTCGTATACAATTTTTTAATGGGGGTAATATTTGCAGGATATTGATGCGGTTTTGCGAAAAAATGATGCAGTGAAGCATATACTATTTCAGAAGATCCCAGCCAAGAAAATGGTGGTTAAGGATGACCGTCAGACCATCGCCGCAGTACTGGTGGATGCTATCATTGAAAATCTTGGAACATGGTACGTTACAGGCAAACAATAAAAGATTTTATTTGATTCAATTAGTCGCCGTTTATAGCCCAAGTAAGCAAGCAATGGACCAAATGGCAAAAGATCTTGTCGGAAAATATCCAGCCCTAGGGGACCCCAGACGCAAGCATCTCGGTTACCAGATGTGGTTCATGGGTAGCAGCGATGGCTCCCCGGCGAGCGGATTTTTGGAGGAAAGGCTTAAAAATCAGCGAAAAAAAATCTCCGATAAAAAACTTCTGTCTACTTCAGCTACAAAGTGTAACGAATTGGATTTGCCCGTTTTGAATTGGATATCTGATGACGAGGATGGTGAGATTTTTTAACCTTTATAACCTTTAATGACCACTTGACTTCTCGCCCATTTGGTAGCCAAAACACTCTGCAAATTTTGCTGTCATTGTAATACCCTGTTAATATATAGATGATCCAGATCCGGAGGAAGGAATTCTGGAGTATATTCGCCAGAATTTTGGAACTGATGTTGACTCGGCAATGAAAAATACCGTTTTTCAACGTCGCACAGTGATACGCCGACTTAACGCGGTAAATGTAGATATTCTGGATAATTTAGTAGTATCCATGCCTCGACTTTTCGATACAGAGGGGATGGTATGTACAAATTATGTTATATGAAAGTACGCAAGAGTTAACTTAACAGGATTACTTTATCAAAATATATACATATATAGATAACTCAAGATTTCGATTGCCGTCATCCTGCACTGGCCTTCGTGATGTACGACCGGTGGCCAAGGGTATCTCGAAAAATCCTGGAATATGCAGAAGAGAGTGGAATCGACTACTTGAAAAAATTCGGTGTGATGAAGAGTCGTTATGACCTGTCCTCCGGTACTTTATTTACGAAATAATTATTTTTAACTCAAAGTTATGTATTTTTTTGTTCCTTAGATGACGTTACAATACTGGCTTATTGCGTATTGCCGTTTGTGCTTCCATCGTGTGGCCGACGGGCCGCATCCGACAACTTGGAGGACCAGTTTGACGATGGAGAACTGCCTATGGTGACTACGAGAGGAAAACGTAAGGCAAAAGCCGCTGGTCGTCCCCCCAAGAAAACCATGTCGATTCTGAAAGCGTCGGACTTGGACGTATACAAAAGCATGTTTGTTGTAAAACCGGTGCGTTATCGTTTGTACTATAATCTTAGGGCAATTATGTATAATCTCATTCTAATTAATATGCAATCTTCTTTTTGCCAGAAAAATACTCATGTAGCCGAAATTCTTAAGATGAACACACACCAAGCTCCGTTTTTACTTGCCCTGGGGACTATGGCCGATCTGCAGTTTGATTCATTTTTTATCATCATTCATAAGGTTGCCATTCCATGCGGTTCAAAATTTTTGAAAGCCTTTGACTCATTGACTAAGATTTTCACCGTGTTGCCACTTCCGTTTCCAGTTGAATCGTTTAACCATTGGTTATTTATTTATCACGGTGTATTTGGTAAACCTTGCCAATCAAATCTTCCACCCGTTGTACAGGCGTTGATTGGACAAATTATGCAGAATATTTAACTGTTTCAAAGCTTGTTTTACTGTTAATAATATTTCAAACATTTTTTGCTACACTGTAATATTATTTTTAACCTACCTATGAAAGTAATTGAATTGTAAAACTTAATAGTTGTGAAATAATAAATCGCACTCACACAAATAAATATATTTTTCCCCGTTTTTAACTGAACTTCTAAATTAGTAAGGCGAGCCCCGGACAGAGTAAGCCATATACTCAAAATCGTGTTCACTTTTACTTAGAATCGGGCAGAATTGCATCATATCGAGTAAAATCTTACTATGTATCGTTCAAGCCCTATGCATAATTTGGAGCATGCTACAACTCTGAGTGGAGCTTACTCCAGACTAGTTGCTACACGCATTACTCCGGGCAGCGTCGAAGCACTTTGACTACCTATTGGAGTGACATTTTACTCCATTCGAAGCGAAAATTTTTAAGAGTGTACGTATACTAAACCAGGCTTATCCTTGCTCACCCTACCGGATGAAATGCGAATAACGTACGATTTAAATTGGTTGCTTATCCTCATAAAAAATCACCGATATGACGATAAGCGATACCCTTATGAGTTACCGTGCGCTGAAAATTCACCCGATTCGGAGTTTTCCCTATTCTCAAAAGGAAGAACGGTCCGATACTGAATTACAAAAATATTTACAAATTTTAAGTTTAATATTTCTAAACTTATTTATTCAGTATACAAATTGGATTCAGGAAACGGACTTTGTTCGAAAGTCTGCTGTCTCCATCACGGTTAATTTGTATGAAACGGATCTTCCCCGAAGTTTCAAATGTGTTGCGCAAAATAAAACAAACAATTCTCAGAATTCGACGATTTTTATTCGAATTCCAGCATATCCAGGTCTCAGAAATGTATATACTTATCAAAGTACGAGGCGACAGAACGTATAATTTAAATCTTGATTTATTCCCGCCAAGTAGCCACCGTATATTGGCCTGATAGAGAGGACATCGTCTACAAAAACTTGAACATATTTTACTGCATTTCTCGAATCCCGGTTCGATTCGAGAAGGAAGATTCCCTCCCAACATACTTGGAAGACACTAAGGCGGGATTTGTCGACTACTATATCGGCATGGGTTTCAAATACACAAAGGCGGTACAAGTCACGCTGGATGATGGGGCAGACGCGGATGGCCAAATTGGAAAAGTCACGTGTCTCGATGAGGCCAGCAATGGGACACATGTTTATTGGAGTTGGAACTATACCATTTCGAGCGGTAATTTCGAGCGGTTCTTTTAAATATGTACTGTAAGACCAGTTCAAATATGTGAATAATGGCTTTACTGAATAAATTTTTACAGAGGAAGATGGTAAAGGAGAAAGAATAAGATTTAACGGGCCGTATAAAAGGGCAGAGTGTAAAACATCGGTTGAGGAGGAACTCACTGGTATCCTGTACATTGAAGCTGGAAACCATGTGGAACTATCAATGAGAGAAAATTGTCTTAAATTACCATACAATGTGACCGAGTAACTTTACTTATTTCAGATTTTCAGGCATTCTAAAATGGATTTTTTGGTAACATTTGTAGGAATGGAATTTTTGTAACCACCGAATACCCGAATTACCAACAGAGTCAGAATTGGAAGATTCTTCCTTTGTGTACTCCCCACTTCCGAACGGGACCTCTGGGGCGTTTCAATGCATGACGCCAGACGTGTACAATGATGGAATTCACTATGAAGTATTTGCTGAGACGGTGAATAACCAATTAGGTAAGAAATCCAAGTATTTACCAACCTACATATTATCTAGTATTATTAGTACTAGTGAGTAAAATGCTGGTGTTGCGATACAGGGAATGCAAACAATAAGGAGCAGGAATTCATAAAAGTGGGAAAATTATCCAAATACTCAATATTTATTGGAGATTTTATCCACATTAGTTGTATAACTTCTAACATGTATTTCTATGGGAGTGGAATTTGGGTATTACTTTTCAATAATGGAACTCAGTCCGCTGTCCAGAAATGTGAGGCAATTGCGAATTATGGGCAAATACTGGACAATATATTCAAGAATACCTCGTTTAAAATCGTTACTTTGACTTATTTATTGTTAGCATGGATCATTTCTGACGATATTCACCGCGTCGGCTCATTTTTGGAACGTCACAGCAAAATCACAATTAACAGTATGGACGTGATTGGAACAACTTGTGGTGGGATTTCCGTCATTTATTCAGAAAAGTGGGCGCGGTCTGGCAAGAATGCTGGGATTGTTTTTCCTGATCAGAGATTTGATAATTTAAGGGTTAATGCAAGTAGGTGTTAAAGGTATTATACATTGACCTAAATTTGTTTAATTTAATATTTAATCATTTCGTGGAAAGGAACCGAGTTGCCATCCGTAGGCCCGATGGGAATTATCCTGTCCGCCTCTGCAATGGTCATCCTGGTCGTAATTCTGATCGGATTCGGAATCTGGATGCGTATGAGGCCCCCAGTAGATGCCGTATTCTACAAACTAATCAAAGATTTCTTCGACGGATACGAACCGACGGGGGTGGATGTGACCAATCCTTGCCAAACTGCGGAAAGCCAGCCATACGATAAATCTTATGAAATTCCATTAAAACATGTGTCCATCAGTAGGTTCAATTTGCTTATCGTTATCCCAAAGGCCATAATATTTTGCTTAATTTGTTTCTTATAGAGTTGGAATCTCCGTTAGGAAGTGGAGCTTACGGGTTGGTATTACACGGGACGATAGATGGCAAACATATCCCGCGCATAAAAACAGGGGGTAATACGCGAGTCCCCAGCTGTATCGATATTGCTGTCAAGACGATCAAGCCAGACTCAGATTCCTCTTTTCTAACTTCTCTCCGAACTGAAAGTTATGATTTATATCGGACAACATGACAATGTCCTTGCCATGATTGGTGCTTGTACTGAGGAACTAAAGAATCGTACTGGCTTAAATATATGGTTAAAGGGGTGCCGAAATCAAGAGGGGGTTTTCAACAGTTAATTTGTGATTAAATAGGAGAGCTGTACCTCTTCTTGGAATACTGTGAGCATGGCCCACTTCAAAATTACTTGGTGGAAAACCGATCCCAGTTTTCGCTTAAAGGACAGGATCCTTCCCAGAATGGGTAACTAGTTGATCAATTTCACTAAAATGTGTAGCGCTCTGATAAAAATATTTGTACTGTTTTGCTACTTAGAGATTACGAAAATAATCTGGGACACGGATGTAAAATAAGTTTACAAGATTTGTATCGTTGGAGCAGTGAGATTGCATCCGGTATGAATTATCTTGCGGAAAGAAAGGTAATTTTTATTTTGCTTTTTTAGTGTTCTGCCAATACAGCAATTAAATTGTTGTTCCAGGTATTTCATGGTGACTTGGCTGCACGGAATGTACTCCTGGATTCTTCATTGAAAGCAAAAGTGTCTGATTTCGGCCTCTCGAGGAGACTTTACGAACGATATGAGTATGTGAAGCAGTCTAGGGTAGGTCCATTTAGAAAATTGTGTGATTAGATGGTTAGAATGAATATGATTTCCTACTTTCAAGGAACCTCTACCGTGGAGGTGGATGGCCCTGGAGTCACTGAGAGATTTGACCTTTTCCACGGAGAGCGACGTCTGGTCATTTGCAATCACACTTTGGGAAATATTCTCACTCGGTCAAGTTCCGTACTCGGGAATTCAGTATACTTCCGAATTTGTGGAATTACTAGAGACAAATTTCCGTTTATCAAAACCACAATATTCATCAATGAAGATGTAAGTTAATTATGTGATTGATTTTTAAGCAAATGCTCATTAAGCAAGGATGTTTTTTTGTCGTCTTAGGTATAATTTGATGCTTCAGTGTTGGCACAACGAACCAAGTGAACGACCAGCCTTTTATGATATTGTAGACGCAATGATCAACATTATGAACTAGGTGATTCTGTGGCACCCCATTAAATTCATATATTTATGAAATATATTATAGGACTAATTTGCAAACCGTTAATTTAATCGGCACAGAAATTGAGGATTTGCAGTTTGTTAACGGAACAAAGCCTTCACAGATTAGCAATAAACTAAAGTATTGATTAATAAGTTAGACAACGGCAGTTGTGCGTGACATATATACATATGCGATGAGTACGATATGGTATTATGAGGATTTTATTGGTTACTAAATTAAACAAAGGGTCAATGAAGTTTAAACAAATCATTTTTATTCGTTGGTTTATGCAAAAATTATTTAAATTTTAAATTTTGTCGATATTAAATAAATATGTACTTATGTACATATCTGTTCACATTCATTCAATTAGAGCGAAATGAATAATGAATGGTCAATTATTCATTGGATGAATGAAGCATAAATGAATAATTCCATATTTCAGAATGAATGAGCGGATTTTTTATTCATTCATATTTCCCCCTATGTTAAACACATGGGGTGAATATAGAATGAATGAATAATTCATTAATATGAATGAATATTAAATGAATAGTGAAAATGAATTTCGAAATGAATGAATTTCGAATGAACAAAAAAAATTTGAACAGCTATGTGTACATATGTAGGCAGTTTCAGTGGGTTAATAAAAAACCTGGTGGTATAAATTTCTTACGTCATTTATAAAATTGAATTCCATCATGATGATCAAGCCTTGAAATTTACAAGTACTTTTAGTTATTGGTGCCTTAAGCTCATATTCATACTCGACGTCTCTATGACGGTCTCTTCTACAATTTTAATGACTGGTAAGAGAATGCAGACTTGCTAGCGTGGGTATAAATCTGTCAACAAATTGGAAAAACTTGGCCACCGAATACTAAAAGATTTGGGAGATTTTCTTCTCCTAACTTGTGCAAGATCAACGTACAGTACTTACACAACCCATTTGTTTGTAGTTCAGTCTTTTGACATAGAGACGTACAATCTAACAGTGGCCGCGGAAGCAGGGGGGAAATGGCCCCATCACCTGCCCATGTTAAGCACACCCCACCCTTGCTTCCCCTGCAATGTCACCATTTGTCCGCACGGCTTCCGCGATCACTGTAATCGGCTGCAGTACTAACACACTACCCTACTTCCAGCTTGTAGAGTGTGGATATACATATGATGCTTTGATTCTCTTCGATTATCTTTCAGCTGGAGCAGCATGACTCAGTTTTTCACTCACTTATTTCACAGAGAAAGTTTTACTAAACTTAATTCGTCACAAGTTTTAATTTCCATGATTTTCTACTCATTTCTCTCTATTGAAAATGGGAGTGAAGTATTTATCACTCGTCCTTTTGTGCCTGTCTCTAAAAACCTGCCTCTGTGAGAGAGAGGATGCCGATATCGAGCGCTTAAAGTATGTCGAAAAGCTTGTGAAGGGTTTGCACGGTCCCATCCACCACCTCGGCAGCCTACAAGCCGCCCTCTGCGACCCGGTCGGGGTGGGAAAAGTGTTTGACGTCTTTGAAGCGGAAGATTTTGTGGACGATGTGGAAGACTGGGATCGTGACGAGGCGATGGAGCGTTTCAAAGAGGTCATGACCAGTGTGGGAGGGGAGGCGGAGAAATTGGCCTACTTGGAGATAATATTGGACCGGCTGGACATTCAGATCAGTGTGGAAGAACTGGAGGAGACGGGCGCGCTGAGTGAGTCGTTCCAGTTCCAAGTGGACGTCTACCAAAGGGCTGTAAGATCTGTGGAGGAGGTGAGAATCTCACCGCGAGATGGTTAAATACGTAATTTGAATTAATAATATTCTTAATTTAACCAATTTTTAATAGAGCTCACATCTCATCGAAGATTTGATCCAGACTGCGGAAAATTATGAATGGTTGGTCGAGGAACAGGCTAAATTTGTGGAAAACCTGACCTTGGCATGCGAAGGAGGAGAGGAGTTTATTGCAGGTCTCTTGGATGGAACGGCTAAGTTGGACACGTTTAATAGCGGAAACTTCGGGCCACGGGCTATTGAGCAGTTTACGAAGTATCAGGAGCTGGGGGAGAGGGTTCATGTGAGAGAATAATTGGACATATGAGTAATTTAGTTGGGCGCTGGGATAATAATAATTATTATTTTTTAGGACGCCGTAAAAACTGGGAAGATGGAGGACTCAATTTCCAACTCGACTCAAGACATGAACAAACTGGTTGAGATGTGCAACCTTTGGACGAAACATACATTCAGGGCGAATTTGCGGGTGGGATTTAAGCACGTCAAGGAGGGAGTGCCAGTCAAGTTGGAAGTTTTGGAGAAACTGGTCGAATTTCATGCAAAGATTGAAGGCTTGAAGAATCTTGTGCTGGTAATGTTATGATGATGGCAGGATTTTTACGAATTTTACAATATTTTAAATTTTGCGTATTCGTTTATTCGTCATAGTTGGAGACAGATGCCACCATGATGGAAGAGTTGGGAGATGAGCTTTCTGAGGAGGAAGAATTACTGGCAGACTTCATGTCCGAGGAGAACACGATTGAGCAAATACTCAACGTCGTGCCAGGGACCGGTGTGTTTTTGAGGAAGGCCGGCGAAAATGTGGACGCTATATCGACAATTGTAAGTTTACAGTGATATTTTTAGCGTCGCATGTACGGCTCACATCAGAATTTATGGATTTTACAGCGAAAGGCCATCTCACAGAAGAGAGAAGTGGAAAGCATTCTGACGGACCAGTATAAAGAGTTGTATGGAAGATGGATGGGAAATATAAAGAGAATAACAGAAATTTTGGAAAACGTGGTGAAGAAGAAGGTTAAGACTGAACTGTGAACTTGGCGTCAATGTCCATAAATAATGCGGAGGGTGATAATTATTTTATTAAATGACGGTCTTCCACTTACTATGATAAGCTTTTGGACATTTTTCCTAATTTATTTAAAATGTCTATTTATTATTAGGCATCTTTTAACGTAAGAAGTCAAGAATTAATTTATTTGTAAGGCGTTCTCCATAATCCCAGAGGTTTAGTTAATGTTGAATTACAATTAATATGAGTGAATAAAATTTTATAAAATGACAAATTGCAAACTATTTATTCGTATCTTACAAAAATCAGCCCGGAAATAATGTTGCGGAGAAAATAAGGAAACCTAATCTTCTATGAAATGAATATGAAAATTAACCAAGATTTAAGCAATACAAAGAGAGGTTATAGATGTACGTTACATATATGTAAGGTACATCTATAATCTCTGAGAATTATAATTCTCAGATGGTCAATTTAACAAAAGCTAATGTCACAACATGCACTGAAAATATTGGTGCAATTTTGAGATATTAATCATATGTACTGGAAATTAATTGTGAAATGTGAAATGAATATATGCATTTTTTATATTATTACTGATAGACTATCAGTGATAGTTATCAGTGAAATGTCAGAAGTTTCCTTCGAAGAAATGAGAAAATCTCATAAAATAATATTCTTTAAGATACATTGTCAAAGTTTGGTCATTACTCAGAAGTGAGAATTGTACTTATTAATAATTTCAGATTTGACAAGCTTTGTAAAATTAATTACATAATTATAAAATGATTTTGGACATAACTGCGTCTCTGTCGTATAATTTGGGAAAATTGTGTGCAGGATCTATATTGAAGAGTTTGAATCTCCCGCCAGAGACAATGACGGCTGAGATGTATGTAAGTCTACAAATAGAATACAATCGCACTATTAGTAGTCTATTTTTATAAATTTGTATATCAAATTAATATTTAATCTGTAGTATTTGCATACGAAGAAGAGCGTGAAAATTTTGTTAAATAGTCAGATTTTCTTGTGAAATTGTGTGTAAAAAGCTTAGGCAATCAAACACTGGCGCCAATTAAGGTATTTTTTAGACATACCTGTATACAAACTTTTGTTATTTCCTTCCACCGAACCACGGTCTCTGCTTGGCGCAGCATGCTTCAAAAATGTCTGCACTGGGCACGTCCGGTAGTTTGCAGGTTGCTTCGCCAAATTCAAATTCAGTTTTGGTGGTAGGGGGCGTGCAGACTAAAGATTGCGCCTTGCCGCATTTCATAGTAGCCTGGGATCCATAAAATAGGCACTTTGCCTTGTTCAGATCACCTTTTATTTCGCCTTTCTGTAACTTGCGCGCATCAGCTCCAACGGTAGGTTTGGGCATTGTGATCAATGCGAGAAGAACGGCTATTGCGCAAACTCCGAAATACTGCATGTTGCCGACTAGAAGAAAAAAAGGTTAGGTGACGATTTGACTTGATTTTAGGCTTACCTACATATTTGGTGGTGATGGACGCGTGACAGGGGGAGTATTAATGAGGGCAAAAAATGTGGACCAGAAAAACACGGGTGGATTGTTTTCCAAACAAAAATCTGGTAAGGGTTCGTTTTGGGAATTTTTCAACGGTTTGAAAACCGGAAGAATTGGCAGAACAAGAGGAAGATAATAAATTTTTGATCAATTTATGTATAATCAATAATCATGTCTCCCGTGATGAATGTTGATTTTTGCATTTTACACTTTTACAGGGCTAAATTTCTGCATGTGTATTATTCCCAGTGGTAAATTCCCACTCGTAACCCTGTGACATTGTTTGGAATTGGTTTCCATTCTACGGAAGGCACGTGTAGACAGACTAATAAGTTGGTCCAACTTACAATGCGAAGGCATGAAGTGATACACTCCTATCTTGATGCGACTAATTTTAATTTGTTCACAATCAAAACTAAGTAGACCCGTATTTTTTCTTTTCCCATAATGCGCACATTTAAGCGCGTGGCGGCAATTTCAAATCTTTTTCCAGCCAAAATTTCAAATTTTAAAATCGCTGTAACTTTTTGAATTTTGGCGCGAATTCAAAAAACTAAAAACATGTACGCTTAGAATTACTTCCTTTACAATCTAAAAATTCAATTGCAAAATTTTTTGAAAATTCGAGGTTTTAGCCATTTTTTGAATTTCGCAATATAGAAAATCCCGTGAAAATTCGAATTTTCAAAAAATTTTGAAATTGAATTTTTATATTGTAAAGGAAGTAATTCTAAGCATACATGTTTTTAATTTTTTGAATTCGCGCCAAAATTGAAAAAGTTAAAGCGATTTTAAAATTTGAAATTTTGGCTGGAAAAAGATTTGAAATTGCCGCCACGCGCTTAAATGTGCGCATTATGGGAAAATAAAAAATACGGATCTGCTTCGTTTTGATGCTGAACAAAATAAAATTAGTCCCATCAAGATTGGAGTGTATCACTTCATGCCTTCGCATTGTTAGTTGGGCAATTACATATTATCCCATTGTTTCTCATCTTGGTAGCACTTCCGTATTTATAACTTGACACATGCTTTAAGGTTATGGCTAATTTAGTTGCCTTATCTTATAGCGAAGTTAAACTCACGATGACAAGTTGTCGGGATGCGTGCTGGATTTAAATAAGCAGAGATATCTTTCACAAAATTTAAAAACACGCCAATAATTAAATATAATTATTATTGACAAGCCGTACATAATCTTGGAATAATTAATTGAAAGTAATAATCTTGACAACTTTTAGATATATAAAATGTAGAATATTACAAGTAATGACGACAATTAGGTACTTTGTTATAATTAAATTGAATCTCAATTTATAAATGTATTTAAATCGTTGCATGCTAAGCCTAACCAAAAAATATTGAGTGCATGTAATTTGCCTGATGAAATAGGGATAGAGCTTGTTGGAATTCGCATTTGCCCCACACGGAAGCTCTTTGCCAAGTACAAGCTCCGGGTGATAGTTTCGCTCTAAAAATCATTCGATCCAAGCAAGCGACGAACCTTTAGGAATCTCGATAGTTTTGCTTTTACTCAAGTTTGAGCAGTGGCCGCGGAAGCATGGGGACAGTGTCCCACAGAAATTTTGAAACTTCCTATCCCTTCAATGTCAAGATGCCCCCTACATCCTCTAATGTTATTATCCCCATATTCCCTTCCGCGGCCACGGAGGTTGAGCATCGATATGCACTGCACCACAAACTTGAACGCAGTTATTTGTTTATTACTCATCATTATTATAACTTCGTAATGTGGAGCACATTATGTGTTGTGTCTTGTTAATTAAGACTCGTATTTTAGGAAAAGTATTAATTACGCATCTCTAGTTCAAAGTTGTTTAAATACAAACAACTTGAATATTTGGTGTCGATCTGTGCATACTGTGGCTGAAGATACGACGAAATGTAAACACGTCATGTTTATGCTTTGGGTAAAATATTGATAAATATTATTCATGATTGTTGTGCGGGGCTCTTATTGGACTTTGTTGTGTTCTCACGCTTCGTAACGACCTGATTTGAATGATTCATTAAGTAAAATAAAATCGTGTCATATTTTCCAAATGGCTGTCTTTCTCTCTCTACTTATTTGCTGCGTAATTTTTGTCATGTAAAAAGTGAGTTTTGCGTGTATCAACGAATGCGAAAAAATTGAATACTAATTTATAAGTAAATGAGACGAGATAGGACGAATGTACAAATTTTATATGAGTTCGTCTCATCTCGCACAATTTCCTGGCTCATGTGAAATATCACCTAACTTATTTCCCATCTAATCTCGTCTCACCGAGGACCCTACATATTTATTATTCGCTTTTAAAGAAAATCATAATATTCACTAAACACAACTTTTCTTGAAAAGGTGGTGCTCACCTTTATATTCAAAAGGTCCATATTTATAAATAGGTCACTGCACTTCTAAAATATTTAAATGCGACACAATGTTCGGAAACGTTTAAAGTAAGTATACATATAAAGATGTGCCTAGGGAAAAATCGTATCGTTTGCTCACTTTGCAGGGGAAGGGTGACTATTCTTAAAATAAATATTTAGGAGAGTTTTAAAAAGGATGGCATGAGCGAACAAAATAAGTATCCACCGACCTCATGTCCTGCAAGGAAGAGGGGGGAGAAGAATCGTAGCCACAAAAATAGAAAGGGTGGCATATTCCTCTCCCGACGCTGAACTGGGTCACACGTCAACTTCTTCTCTCCAACTGGACACCCTTCCTGTCTAAATAGGGAAATTTATGAAGCGCCTGGTTTTTGCATAAATAGACAATAAATCGGGTAAGTTTGAAATTTAATTGGTAGTGATTTTGCAAGCAAATCTTCCACCGGGCCGACGAGGACGGCAATTGCATTTCTTGTTTAGTACTATTTTAGGCTCCAACTTTATTTCAGCTAATTGATCTTGAATTGTCAGTTCTAGTGCAGTATGGAATCCGAAAAATATCCTGTCATCCGTCTCATAATTGACCCTAAAATAGAAGAAATGCTTCCCAATAACACCAAAACTAATAAAGGACCTTCACCGTTCCCCCAGAGATCCTTTATGAAAAATTGTTTCATCTGCGAGAAATCACAAATTGAGAATTCTGGGCAAGGACAGGAGTTAGAGAAAGAACGGGCCGAGCTGTTAAAATTGTTGGTGGTAAATTCAGAGATGCGACTAATGGAAGTTCATCCCTTGACTTTCGACGCCCAGAGTGACACGACCTGTACAAATTGCCACACAGCGATGGATGCAGTTTGGCAGCTGCATAAGCAAATGGAGGCCGTGATTCGGGAAATTGACGGTATCGTTAGAAAAGTTAGAAATACGATGGAACAACGCGAAATTGTCGAAGGTAGGAGTTTTTTACAAGGATAATTTATTAACTTGATGTTAATTGAATTATCTTGATGCCATTGTTTATAAAGGGGATGGTCAAATAGTGGACGTGTCGTCGTCTTTTGGATATTTTAAGAAATTAGAGGTGAATTTGGTTGATGACCTAAACTGTGAGACAACTGCATCCGCCGACCAGATTTGTACCAATAGGGATAAAGGCGTTTCTGGAAAATCGACCAACACTGAGAAAATGGATGAGGAAGGTAAAACTCGAATTTTTATAATGCAATAACTTTGAAAAATACGCTACATAATATAGGTATCACTATTTACGTATATCTGTAACCCAACAGTTGATCCGATTCCCAAACTTGCCAGGCGGAGCGTTCGTTGCGAAAATCAAGCCCCTAAAAAACCTTGTGATGAACCACGGCAGAAAAAATCAAACCACAAGTTGCCAATCCCGCTGCCAACAGTTGTATGCGCTTCGAAGGTCAAAAGGAACGAACACCCTAAAAAGATGCGTCGTCAGTGTGCGGGTTGCAATAACTTGTTCAAATCACCAGGGCATCTCGAACGGTAAATAATTACGTTAATAATTACTCATTATGGATGATGGTTCTTAAAGTCATAATGGAGGCTAAATTTCAATGATGAACTTATTAATCGATTTTTACTGCCAACTAAAAGAATGCAAACGAAAAGAATGCATTTCACTATTTATTTTTCATTATTTCCCAAACAAATGCAGTAATTTTGAAAGTAACTATTTCTGAGTTAGTAGTTGGAACGATGACAGAATTTATCATTGCGATTTAGACTAAATTGTTAAGTGACTTAAAATCCAAGTGGTAACTTAATTATGAATTACCAAATATTATTTCTATTCCACAGCCATATTCGTTTGCGTATCTGCGAAAATAAGAAATACCGGAGGAGGGAGAGACGATCAAAGGCGAAGAAGGGGGCATCAGAATATAAGATTGAATTAGGGCTTACCATTACCCTGAAGGACTATCCCTTTAAATGCATAAATTCCCTCTGTGGACAATCTTTTAAGAAAAACGAGCATTTAGCGGACCACCTAATTCAGTGTGAAAAACGGGCATGTCTTGGCTGCCACGTGTCCATCCCTCGTGCTGAGTTCGAGCGTCACCTGGGTTCCTGTGTGAAAGCCAAGTTATTACAGACAGCAATGGAGGCATAAATAATTGGGGCTTTGATCGTCGCCAACTGTCCATTATTCAGAATTATTCAGATTCTCAAAAAAATATTTGAGAACTGGATAGCGTACTCAGGAGTGAATGGATTTGAGATTATTTAAAATGTTGTGTCCAGCAGTAAGATCGCCTAATTTAAAAACTTTGTTATTTGTATGCTAAAATAAATATATTTGTGGTGCTCACATATGTAAATACTTAAATAAATAATTAAGTATTTCAAATACTGTATTTGACGAGGGAACGTTTTATTTAGTTTTATTATTTGGATATTTTGTTAGTAATTTTGCACTGTATCACAATTTACATACACAGATTTGTGTAACACTTCTTATTTGAATATTGCTGGTGCATGAAGATGTAAAACCATAAATAACGTAAACCGACGGGACAAAGCATCTATTCCTGGTAAAGGGTACATCGGTTTATTGAAAAATATGTAATTGGTTCACTTTACAAACATATAGTGCAAAGACAACTTAAGCCATTCAAATAATTATTACTATTTCTGGTACTAATGAACACACGACGGGACTGTTGAGTTGTATTACATATATGTTTGTAAATTACCACGATTGTTATTGTTGGAAAAAATGGATGGATGCAGTAATTAATTACTTATTTCCGATTAAAGAATTAGAATCATCAAGTTTTTAATAAAAATTACAGTTGTTTAATTAAATTTGCAGACTCAAGTGACACACTCGTTATACGATGGTGGGGGAGTATTTCCGGAATGATTACGTTCCACCGATTCTTCAGCAGTTGGTCGTGTGTCGTCCTGGATGGATAACTCACTTAAGGGGGGACAGCTGGGGAGATAGTTTGTACTTCGTGATACAACGACCGTCCTGGTGAGAGGGATCGTATTTGGGGAGTCTGATGGTACTGCGGGAATTCTATTATTTCCTCCGGTGCGGCATTGTTGGTAGCATTTGTAGTGGAGGTAGACGAGGAATATCAGAAAAAGGAGGACGCCTCGATAAAATAAGATTTGAAGAGGCGCGAAAAAGAAATGTTTAAAAATTTCCCCAACTTCCCTGGTTTCAATTGCTGGACCATGGCTTGATTAAGAAAAAAGATTTTGGACTTTTTAAAATCTATTTATGATTACATACAAATATTTTTAAAATATTTCAGCACTTTAAATTTATTTATACAATTGTCAGAACAATTTAACCCCAGTGTTATAATTGAAAGTTTTAGGAGGAATTCTATTGCAGGAAAATTTAAAGAATGGCAGTTTCCAAAAAGTAAATGTCTCTCGTTTAAATGTACAGACCATAGCAGCAGTGAAATTTCAGTAAAATTACTACAGAGAGAAATATGTAGAGTGCATGTAAGTCTTACTCACCGATATTTACTTCTTTCATTCCCTTTCCAAATTGTGGACATGGTTGGTGTAAACTGTGAATGCAACCATACCTGTTCAAATTTTTTTTGTTCATTCGAAATTCATTCATTTCGAAATTCATTTTCACTATTCATTTAATATACATTCATAGTAATGAATTATTCATTCATTCTTTATTCACCCCATGTATTTAACATAGGGGGAAATATGAATGAATAAAAAATCCACGCATTCATTCTGAAATTTGGAATTATTCATTTATGCTTCATTCATCGAATGAATAATTCACCCATTCATTATTCATTTCACTCTATTTGAATGAACGTGAACAGATATGAATGCAACTACTGGAGAAAGTGGAGAAAAGTCAGCTGTCCGGTATAGAACCAACTTTACCCACGTTATTGGTTCGATGGTATGGAACCAAGGAAGGGTGTCGAAAAACACCGGATATTTTGTATGTAGTGTAGATACATCGTATTTATTATCATAAATATAATCATTGCATTTAAAAATTTTAATAGCCAGTCAAGATAGAAAAAATGCAAAAATTAACAAAAATAGTCGGCAACGGCTTTTCCAACTTTAATTTTTCGGTTAGATATTTTTAATTATGAACGTACCTAATTTGAATTAATGAACCATTATGAAGAATTCTAAACTTCTCAGTTTAAATTAAATTATTTCAGACAACGCTAAAGGCTCAAAAACAATATGGTGTGAACCAGGGTTTGGTTGTGGTGGCGTTTTCTCGGATTAGCATGCATTCTCCACTTTGTTCATGAAATTCGGGCCCCCAAAAAATAATACCAGACATGCATTCAAATGTTAATTTAAAATGCTCAGGATTAAATTAATCAAATTAACCGACGGATATATCTAACATGTATTAATTACTAGAGTAAAGCCCGTCCTTGTTGTTGAATATCACGAAAATCTACCAGACTATCGATATAATTCACAGAAAAGTTTGTCTGAATGTGAGTGAGGAAATAATGACGACGACGATAATAGCAGCTACCAATTAACAAACAATAGTTCGGTTTGAGACACGGAGGAGAGTGGTTGGGTCTCTCTCTCTGCATTTCAATCAACTCTAAGTTACGACTACACAATTTGACACACAAGTTTTCTTTCAACTACGAAATGGAGCTGAACCAATTGTGTGAAAATTTGCGTACACTCTACATCGACAATTTCAACAAGTTCGCTGAACAACTTGCTGCAAATCTCAACGAAACATTAAATCGTTGTTTCAAAACTACGGGACAGTCATCTCATCGTTCTGAGGGGGGCAGAAACTTGAGTGCACGTCTTATCAAATCCGAACCGCGTTCTCATACACCAGACCGAAGTTTTTCTGTTTCATCACCACACCCTACTTTGTTTCGACTCCGAGATGGGGGCTGGGACAGAGGCCGCTCTTCCAGCCATCATCATCATTGTCCACCCAAGGGACGCCTGGGGGGACTGTACTTCCGGCGACCAGTGTCTCAAGCGGGACGCCGTGGAGGCTGCTGCTACCCATTCCGCCAGGTGTGGCGCATATGACGTTCGACGGAGGTGGCGTAATTTGACATTCCTCGCATCATCATACGTGGCGTGGACTTTGCTCTTCTCCCCTTGTCAGCAGGCAAGGATTGTTAGAGCACAGTATCCATCTCCTCACCTCGCATCTTCTCCTTCCATTCTACACGACACACCTACGACCGGATGCTGACATCTGATCTACATTCTTCTATCCCCCACCCTCAACTACATTATACAGTTTCGTCGCCCCTCACCCACATTCGTTTTACTGCAATCAGCTCTGGCCTGGATTCTTCACTGACTCCGCTACATGCGACGCAATTATTATTATTATTTTCTTCATCTCACTCCTATGTAAAATGATTAATCTTCTATGTATGAATATGTAACCGAACTCATTGTTTTATGAATGTCAAATTCCTCTTACTCATATTTTTATTGTTATTTTTTATATAACCATTTACTGACTCTGTAAAATTGCTCCTTTATGGGCCCGGAGAGGCCGTGAAAAAGGAAGAATAAACATACATACATACGTACATACATACATTAACAAACAATTGCATTCACAGCAGCTATTTATTTCTTTAACTTGGCACTGATTATCATAGAACCTTCTCCAATGGATGTTAGTTGAGAAGTTCTTAAATGGGTTCTACATAAAATCCGCAATAAATATTAATACGCCTACGGAGAAGTTGTAATCTTGCCTAAAACTGGAAAACCTGTCTTCGTGGCAGAACCACGTAAGCAACCTTGAATTAACCTTCAGCTACCCAAAACCTGAACTCAGTTAAACAGAACTGGTACCCAAAGGTGTACAAACACAAACAAAGCATATGATGTTACGAATTACATACAGAAAAATCATACGAATGCATAGCCTGAAATTTGCCAAATAATAAATAGTTTTTTTGTTTTATTTTCCATAAAAAAAATTAACAGTATGCCAGTAAATTGCAGGGCTCCACTCGCCGCAAACTCCCATCCGGAATCCATGTTTGCCACAACAACACGCATCAAGTTATCCTTTTAATCTTCATACGTACCTTCTAAAATGTGAGATCATCGTAGTTTAAGGAGCAATAGTAGCCTCACGGATTTCAAAACACATTCATCCCGGGCCCTCACCGTGTCCAATTATGTTGAGTTGTCTAGCTAATCCTACCTGCCACTATGCATACGAATTAATATGGACCTGCGTGGATGGGATGCTCAAAAATATTTAAGATCAGCTACTGTCTAACTGATAGCGCAATCTCTTCGTCTCTGATTTTGCTGGGAGTAATTTCAATTTGTTCGTCCAAGAAAATAATCAGACCGTATTTCTGCCTTTACATTTAAGTACGCTATGATTGCCTTGCAAGTAATTTATTTTTTATTTCCATACTTTAGCATGGCCTTAAAATACATCTGCAACTATGTGCAATTATAATGATAAAATATTGACCTATAAATTAATTAGTGAACAGTGTCGGTTAATAGAGCCGTCTATGTGTCACTGTATTCCGCCAGGATCGCTTGCGCCCCCTTTTCCGCTGTTAATATGACTCCTCCATTCAAATTGGCATTGGTCGTCCTTGGCATCACACTGCCGTCAATGGCACGCAGCCCAGCAATTCCTAAGACCCTGCAGGACAAGCGAAATATTGGATAAGTTGACCTTATGAGGAAAGTATAGCTTAGCGGGCAAGGTTTCTATTTTGCCCACTTTTAAGCATTTAGCCCAGTGAGAGGGATGGTTTTGAAGTTATGCTTACTTATACTGATAGTCTACGACGGTCATGGGATTTCCGGGAAGCCCCATTGCGCAAGTTCCAACGATATGGAGCCATGAGTAGCCACGTTGATGTACGTAGCACATCCAGTACTGGTTAGATCGGTAGGGGACTAATCTACAAGCCTCAGGAATGCTTTCCGTGTACGCCACATCCATTGCTTGGAAGGAGGTAGTGTTCTCCATAACTTGCAGGCCAAGTTTTATCCCTTCATACGAACAAAATGGGAGGATATTAGTTAAAATCAAAAATAGTGAAGTGTCAACGTGGTGCCTTTATTTAAAAAAAATTGGTTGAATTTCTGTTGATGGTCTGTGCATGCAAAATGGAGATAATTTGTAGTCACTTTTGTAAACTTGTCAAGTTCAAAAACCCCGCCATTTCTTGACTCGGGCCAGAAATGGCGGAGTTTTTTATCTTAAAAATTTACAAGATGTGGAAAATTGTCTGTATTATTAATGCACAGAACATAATTTGCAGCCTTTTTGTAGACATATTTACCTTCAATCATAACTTCCATGTCGGAAAGTACGGTAAAGAGTTTGAAATCGATAAGTGCCAAATTGACATCGCTTCTCTCCCCATTTGCATAATTTGTGGAATTGAAGCCGATCTCGCCCACGGATTCGGCCCGATTTAGAATGATCTGAAGCGCCAGTGGAACCCTGGTCGTGCCATCGTGGATTAAGCCATGTTGCGCAAAAACAATTTGGTAGTCTGGCCAATCCGCTTGATTGTTCGCTCTTGCTCGTGACGACGTAATAAACGCTTGCGGACCGACGTCCAACCGGGTCAAGAATCCGGTTCGGTTAGCTTCTTGGTACGCGCTTATCTCCGCTTCCATATCGTCAATGCGCCGAAGCAGAGCGGGGTTTGCGTTATTGGCGGTAAAACGCAGCACGACGGCGGAATGATCGCGTAAATTTTTTCCCACTCAGGGCAGATTGATTTCTACGGGGATCTAAAGTGGGGGAAATATATGTAAGAATGGAAAATTTAAGTTTTAACGGGGTTAATTATTTCTTACGCCTGCCGCAGTTAGAACGTCTTGCGGACCAATCCCGCTCTTCATGAGGAGCATGGGGGACGAAATTGTGCCCGCGGAGATGATTACTTCCTTATTGGCGTGGGCAATCTGGGGGATTCTGTGTCGTTTATAGACGACTCCATAGGCTGTTTTTCTCTCGTTGATGAGGACCTTAGAAGGGATTGAAGAGGTTAAATACATATTATTCAAAAAACGAGCAGGGTACACTCTTTGGTAAATTTTAAAAATAACAAAGTGCTCTTGTCGCGAAGAGTTGAATTTTTATCAAAAATAAATTTAAGCACCTGTTCAACTTCAGAATATCGTAGAACCGTGAGTGAACTTCGCGTGGATTCGAACGGTTTGACAAAAGCGGTGTAAGTGCTTTCTCGCTCGCCATTTTGGACCGACATTGCAGCGGGGGTAAAACCTATAGTTAAAGTTCAAATTAGATATTGCCACGGTTTTAAATAAAAATAAAATTATCTTACTTTCAGTTTGATTTCCGTTGGGGTCTCCTGTTTGGTAACCAAGTTCTGCTGCTGCTTGGAACCACGACGCCAAAATTGGTGGCATGTCCGTATTCACGGTTAAGAGTCCGCCAGTTGCATAAAATTCTGGAAAATGTAGTTATAAGTGAATTAATTGAACTATTAGTAAATTATTTCTGTCGGTTTTTTGCTCAACTTTTCATAAATTGAGTATATGTGTACGAATAAAAATTACCATTTCTACTCTCCTCCACGATCAAATCTCCAATGAAGTTCTCATAATTTTTAAAATGATTTAAAACATTGACATATCGCCAAAAATCGTCTCCAGTGAGTAACGCGAAATTGTCATAATCACGTGGGTTGCCTCGATTCTGTAATTATTTTTGGCATTTTTATAAGTTTTAAGGTAAAATTATTTAATTAATTTATAAGATTTTTATGATTTACATAAAAATTGCCATTGTGACTTCCCGACCCTCCAAGCATTCGACCGGTGTGGCTTCTGACAATCTAAAAACAATAAATACGTGTTAAAAAATGTTATATTCTGTCCCACAAGCTCAACTTACCCCACCCCCCTCCTGATCAAAATTTAATTGCGGGACGGACTCGAAAATATTATTGATTGCGGGATTCGTTCCCACGAATTCGTTAAGAAACGGATTTGCCGCCGTGGGTGGCGGACTGCCGCCGCTTTCTAGTAGTAGAACGGTATAAAATTCTGACAGCCTGCCCGCCACGAGAGACCCCGCCGTACCGCCGCCCACCACGATGAAGTCGTAGGTTTTTATTCGCGGTAAACTCAGGTCGGCGTCGAGCTCGGTTTTTGTCTTGTGGTAATCGTCTTGGCGGTATTTCTCTGCGTCTTGTTCGACCAGGAGCGACATGGCGGTGAGAATGAATGAGGCGGCCAACTTCATGGTTGTTTCTGGGGCGAAAAGAGACTTCGATTGCGGAGAGGCTTCGGTCCAACTGTGTGGGGCAGGGGTGTGAACCGTCGGGTTTTATACGCGTTCAAGTCAAGGTTCTACTTATGATGCAATACGCGACAAATTTTGATCGATTGACAGAATAATCCGCAAGATTGATGAATCACGCAGATGTGGCAAAGTAACAAATTTATTTTGGTGGTTATGCGTTCTTATCGGAGATAAATATCATGCAGTATGTATAATTGCTTAAAATTGTCAGAGAGTAAGTGATTGATTGGGTGGTTTTATAATTGATTCTGTCAGGCGATTGGATAACGGAATTCTTGCTTCGTTTCGTAATTAGGGGAACTAGGTATTGATTTTGATTAGAGCGGATAAATTGTATGGGGGGAATCAGTTAGGAAATCGAGTGTTTGATGGATGGTTGTACAGGTTAATTATAAATAAACAAGGAATTTGCATATCATTGACGTACAACAGTTTGCTATTACCCGCGTTCGGCTAAATCCGAGCAAGCCGGGTAGCTAAATAAACAAAATTAAGCGATTAGTCACTAATTGATTAACGGAAAAAAGAAACTGGATCCCCCCAATGAATTGGAATTTTGTTACAGTTAATCTCTTGTTACAGCCTACTTGAAAAGATGGACAGTTTAATCTTGACGAATTATTTTGTGCACTTCAATGCTCCGTATGTTCTGCATTGTTTTGTAAATAACTATCCCCATACATAACTTGTTGAGTGTTTATTGCGAAACGTGTTGACAGAGAAGTTTGCAAATACAGTTATGTATACAATTGACTGAACATCTGCTTCTATCTCAATTTGTTACACAATTGATCAAATTCTGACAGCGTTACATAGCCAGATAAGCAATTGCTGTTCATGCTTAATACCTAAATATCACGTAATTTAGCATGGAAACAGTACATGCTTGTAGCAAGTCTTGGAATGAGATGAGAAGAAATATATTCCGACGGAAATTTTAGACTATGTACATTCTGTAAGAAATGAATAAAGTTTATGTATATTGTAGGAACTGTTTAGTATGTAGTGGATGACGAAGGAGTGTCAGTTGAATGTCCAAATGTTTCCAGTCTAATTGGCTGATATGGGTAGGATGATATTATAAATGTAGATTTGGGTAAAAAATAAAGATGAAAATACTATCCAAGCGAGATCATCGATAAGGATCATGACTATCGTAATTATTAAGTCAGATAAGGTTGATTTTAATTCGGGACGGTTTGACAATAAACATATCTCGCTACTTGTAAATCGATAGGCTCAATGGTAAACTTCATATTTGGGAGTGTATATCATGAATATAGATTCGAATAAGCTCAAGGTTTGAATTCAAGGCTGTTTGTGTAAGCTAGGATTGCCGGTGAGATCAGGTGATCGTGGGATGGGAAATAGGTGCGATCGCACACGACTCAGATAAAATCATGGAGATGAGACAAACTCATATCAAATACATCCGTGTGATTTAATGTGAGCCGAGATCTGGAGGATCTAACCTGTGTGATAAAACGAAAATTTCGGAGCGGATATAATTTTGAGGTAAGTTGTTAAATTGATTTATTATTTCTGGGGTTACCGTTTCTGACGAGTTTACAATGTCATATTTTTAAGATTAACCTATACTTGACCCTGTATTATGTATTATGTATTACGGTTGGAGTATTTAAACAAGATACAGACAGGTCTCTCCAAAAAAGTTGAGCAAAGATTAAAGATCTCTTCAAATCATCACGAATTCTTCGTGTGAAATGGTCTTCTCCCCGACCTTGGCCGTTGTTCCCCGCAGGAAATGAGTCGTCACTCTGTCTCCCATAAAGGAATTTTTCATTTAGTGGTTGATATATCGCTGTTTATGCAAAGTTTGTGTAACCTTTTCGAGTCTTGCTAGAATTTCCTGCTTCTTGACTTTGCATCGTTTATTTTGAAACCAGACACGGATCAGGCGAGGGCTAAGGTTTGTCAGTATTTGCAGTTCTTCCTTCTCAATGTCGTCTGGCCTCGGATTTTTGGCGAAAGAAGTGCGATGAATTTCCAACTGCTTAGCAGTCAGGACGGTTCTGACGCGAATTGTGCGGGTTTCTTGGAATAAAAAAATCTCACTGTACATAAAGTTTCACATGAGTGGATTACTTACTTGGATTGACGTCTCCAACCGGAAGTTGGGAAACGTTGGCGGATACGATCTGAAAGAATTATTAGCCGCCAATTAAGATTTTGAAATTATTTAGCATGTCTCTCCCTCACCGGCTTGGTTTCTCGTGCACGCCTCCGATCGCAAAACCAGTTGCGAATCTTGGTCTGATTCCAACCGGTTAATTGCTGGAGTTGGTATAATTCCTCTCTGAGAGGGTATGCATTGTGGGTGTACCAATCTTGCAAGATGTTGAGATTTTCACGGTCGACGCGATCTATGATGGTGATGATTTTTTCAGAATTGTTTAAAATCGCATAGTTAATTACTAATTTAATTATGCAATTTTTACTTGCCTTGGGTCTCTCGTTGCGGAAGTAATCCAGCTACTAGACCGAGTTGAAATATTGCTAGGGCACATATCACACCTACACCGTCTACATGGGGAAAGATCTGGGAGTAGCATAAAAAGAGTAGTAAAACAATAACGGATTTTGTGACGCGTTGGCAGACCAAGGATGGCTTTGGTTTCTCCATTTTCAGGAAACTTTTCAAATTTTGGAGGAAATTTGTTATTATTATTATGGAAACAAATATTCCGGTGTGGAAGAGGATGAAGGTGGGTGAAAGATAATTGGAAGGGTGAGTGAAGGGGAGTGAGGGCTGAAGAAATCTTGCTTGAAGGACGCTCAGTCCTCTACAGAAATGGCAGATATTCAGCAGTAAATCCCTTATTTTGACGATGTCCCTAAAACTATGAATGTTTAGTATAAGGGTTTGTCTCTAACCCAGTCCACGGCGCCCCTGGCAGTTTCCCACCACCATTGTAAGCTGAATACAGTTGCATATATCCATTGCGACCCTGTAGAAGGGTCTTGTATTTTAAATGCATACATACAGTGCACGAGGTCTACTCATGTTGCTGGTGATTGCACATTTTATGGAGAGGTTGCCATTTCTGAAAGGTTTGGACCAGAGTTGTACGTAAAATATGTATTGACAAAATGCTGTCCTTTTGGAAATACTTTCTGTACAGCGTGAAGTTCTGAGAGGGAATGATGGGATTATTAAAATACGAGTCTCAAGCGCCACCCTCATGGGAAAAGAAGTAATGAAATAGTGGCGTGAAATTAGGGTTAGGTGATGAAATAATAAAATAAATGTATGATTAAGAAATGAGTTTATTAGAATTTGGTCATCTCATGAAATACTTCTTTGTGGAAAAATTGGTGAGAAATTTAATTAAGTACAAATACTACGTCAATAGGATGCGATGAGACAGGCCAAGTCTAATCTCATTACCTGGTAGAACTTGATGGATGGGTAGTCAAGATGACATCTCACGTTAATTGAGACGAGGTGAAATGAGACGCATGCAGCTTATATGAGTTCATCCATACTTTATTGGCAAGGAACGTTATTTATGGTACTTTTAATGATGAGTTTCCTTCGACACGAATTATAAATTGTGCATGAAGTGAGGTCAATGAACCGCAATGAAGGTCTGGTTATTAATTGTGCTGCACAATTTGTGCATTACTCGCTAAACCAGGCAGAGCGGAAGGACAGACTCCTTCTATGCATTCATTAGTTATGTTGACATGAAAAGTGCAACCCATCGGTTGATTTTGCATTGATGAGAAAGTGCCCATTAATGTTTTTCACGCAAACAATTTATTGACCAACTTTCTTAAAATATGTAAACCCATTTTTGCTTGTGATAAGTATGGTTGTCAGTGAGATGCGACGGTCTCATTAAAGATGCCATTGAATGAGAAATACGTGAGATTCGAAATAATATGAATGTGTGACATGAGACGAGTATGGATGGAGTCAATGACCACCATTTATTGCACACTGCAAAATGTGCAGATATTTAATTGGAATTAAAGCCTTCTTGTGAATTTCGCTGGCTGACAAAATTTGTGCGAAAAACAGATTCTGGCCAATTCATTCACTGCGATAAACTACAGTTTGCGGATTTTTCCCTTGATTGGAGAATAACTTGAAGCTCTGCCAGTGTAATTTTTCTTCTCCAATTCGCGTTGCCAATTTGCCCGAGCAAACGATCAGGTGTTCAGAGTGATACTTGGATTTTGTTCGGATCAAACTTTTTTTGTCGATCTTGAAAATTATGATTAGAAAATATTTTGAAAAAAATTTTTGAAATCTGGAGGATTGTTTTGAATAGATTGGATGAATAAATTGTCTTAATTCTAAAGTGTTTCATTATTAAATATAATACTTTATGGAATTTATTTGTATTCGTTATGTCGAACTATTTTCTTGTGTAGTATCGAGGGGCAATAAATACAAAGATACGTCCTCACCAAACATTTAGCAAATAATTTGACAAGATTTAAAAACATCGCTAATATAGCTACTACTTTCTCCCTTATTTGGTCGCCAACAACAAGGTGATCGTGTGGGACATCACTCCGGAAACGTAATTCAAAAAATAATCCATTTCAATCCCTCTCCTTATAGTTTCCACTGAACCGAGATACTCCAAATTAATCGAGTTTGGCAACAAACTCTTAACCACTCTCCGTCTCACCTTATCATTGCCGTGATTATACAACATTTTACCGATAAACTTTCTCGACGCGGAGGACGCCTTTGCTAAAAAACTGACAATGAACCATTCCATTAAGCTGGCCGAGGTAATCATTACGACACAAATTAGAATAACGACGACCGAAATCTGATTTCCATTCGCAAAAAGGACACACTGCAAAATTGCGTGGTACAAACCGAGGATAGAAATTACGAGGAAGATTACATGGTGGAAATAAAAGGGTACAATTTGGCCGAGAAAGTCCGACTGGAGGGTGGTCATTATGGTCAAATTGTGGTAAATTTGGATCGTTTTATCAAACTTCAAATCAACCTGGATATTTTTCCACCGTAAATTTTGTTTGGCCAAGAACGGAGTGATAAATTTTGTCCACAAGTATAAAACTATTAATGGGTTGGCGATTACCAAAATCATGAGGCTGTTCATGGACATGACGATTTGGCAAGAGAAGAAAGTTAGGGAGGAGATGATGATATGGACGGGGGACGAGGGGGGGATGCTAGTGCGGAAATAAGATTGGGAAATGGTGCGAATAAAATCGAAGATGGGGTGATGTTCTGAAAATGAAGTGGTGAAGACCATAAGTGGAGTGGCGTAATCCATGAAGAAATAGACGGCAGTAAATATTTTGACGATGTGAGACGATGCGGTGTGAATACTGGTCCGGCCGGAGAGGTTGTGGTGCAGAAGGATTTCTGAGAATTTGTGAGAAATGAATTAATATTGGATATTTGGTTGTCTAGGAAGGAAGCTGATTTACAGGGATGGCGAAGGGTAGCAATTTACAAGTAGGGAATTTTGAAGATAGTACAGTCCGAGTAGAGGAAATAAGTAATAAATCTGAGCGGGATCCAATCTGAGAGCTAACCTTGAAAACGTTTGTCCAACTGTAGGACAGATTCGAAATTGTGAATAAAACTTTCCTGGCGGGAATATCCTGTCAAATGGGAAACGTATTGTATTCCAATGAGGAAATATACAGTTTCCTCAAAAGTTAGACAAATGGTTTTGATGTCGCCTTCATTCCTGGTTTTAAATACGAGGTACGACTGTGCAAGAAGGATTGGTTGGAGTATAAATTTGAGCCACATTGAGAATAGATGGAATGATTTGTGATGCCAGTTTTTGAACGAAGTTGGTTCTGCCCGACAAGTGGCGGGATTCCATGCTAAACTGTACGCGGTGTATAGCGAGTTTCTCTGCGCGGTTAGAATTATGCGGCGGAAGAAATAAATCCCGTTCACGTACCACATGATGTTGAACTTGATTTTTTTTTACAATTGACTGTAGAATTTGTATGTCGAGTTGGTGAGGTCCCGATGGAACTGGAAGGATAGAGAAAGGAAATATTTTTCCTTGACGATATATTAAATTGGTTGTTGAAAATTGTTAAATAAATATCTGGTTGATGTAAATACTAAAGTGTTTTATCCACATTTACCTATAGTGATGGCACCTATTATTCTAGGTAAATAGTCGACTTGCGATTGTTCTTCGCCACTTATTTACAATTAAATTAAATATAAGTTTTGATAAATGGCAGAATTGGAAAAGTTAAAGTGAAATTACAGAGTACAAAAGATGTATTTTTGAAAGTTATGAACATATGAGACAAGCAGATGCCATAATATTGTAATTGTTTTGATGATAATTATTATTTGTACTTTTAGATAAAAACTTATACAGACATATGATAGGCAGTATTTTCACTAGGAAAAAAGAGGAGCCTAATAATGATAATAAGGGATAATTAACAAATTATGTAACTATTGTAATAGATGCTCTTTCCAATTTTATCAGCTAATTTGAATTGAGGAAGCGTAAACTCTGGCCTGGCTGGCTCAACGTGTACAATTAAATTATTAATTCAGATTTGTTAGTATCATTTGCAGTCAATTTAGAGGAATATTTGAAACCTTATCTACGCAATTGTTATTATCATAGTGAAATACTTATGTAACAAAGTAAGACTTACGAATGGGTTGGTCCGCTGTTCATCAAAGAGTGCAGGAATCGCAAGTTATTAAGACAAAGTATTATCGCCATCCCGAAACTAAGAATCTTTTTTTTCAAGAGTATATGTGAAGCTTTCAGACTCCCATCAAGATTGAAGAAGAATGTGGTCTCGCTTATATACCCAACTATAACCAGAAATGTTTTAGCCAAACCCTGGTTCTTTACAGTACACTGTTAATAATCTGGTAGAGTCACGATGGTAATAATCTATCGGTAATAAAGTTGGTAATAATATTCTACCAGGTGGTGAAAATGTGTTACCAGGTGGTTAAAGTCCGTTACCACTGTGGTACCGAAATAATACCACACGGTATAACTTATTATTACCATCTTGGTAGAGTCATATACGTGTGCTTTTCGGTAATGTTTATTACCTGATTTTTGTGAGTGTATATGCTGTAATGAAAAATAACCAGAATCAGTACATTTGCCATCCGGCCTGACTAGGTTCTTTCACTTCGAATGGTTATTATACATAAATCAGGTGGCTTCTTATTTTCTATTATGTATTCTCACATATCTTTGACTATAAGCAAGATATGCATTGCACTTTATCGTGGCGAACTGGAGGATCAATTAATCTGGAAACTTATCCGACACTTTGAGGAGATTAATCTTGGAAGGTATACTATATGTATAAAAGGGACTGATATTGACGTATAGATAAGTCATACATTTATGTAAAATTATATTTCAGAAACTATGAACGAAGCGACCTATCTAATAATTATTGCCTGTTTTGGAGCAGCTTTGGCCGCCCAAGGTTACAACCAAGCTATCGTGTTTCGAACATCACGGTCTAAAATGGGTAAGCTGTGGTCGGCGCAGTAAAATTAGACCAGTTGTGCTGAGAATGATATGTATAAGGCTTATCAGTTAGGAGAATTTTCAGGTTAGGTTAGCATTTGGTTCCGTTTTATGCACATATCCGTTGGCAAAAGGAGTTGAACGAGACCAAGTTAATGGGTGGATATACATACATACTAATTTGAGATGAAGGGTGGTCAATAAGAAACGAACGTGGACGGTAATGGTGTTAAATATTGAAGAGCGTAAATCCGGTTAACCTGTCAACCCTTCATAATACTTTATATTTCCCGTGTATCCTAAGTACATACTTTTTTTACGTACTCATGAACAAGGCGGCGACACGGATTTCAAAATCAAAACCCTTTCTACATACTTCTTTCCATCGATTCTGTAGAATATTTCATCGCATTTAAGAGTGAATTATTTGGAAAATTGGAGCTTAATAACCAGCCCCTGTTGTCGAATATGTCTACGTCAGCCTAGTTTCACCTCAGTCCTAAAATAAATTTCTAAATAATTATGATTGTTTTTTTTCCGAATGACTACAACATTCACGGGCACCCTTCCACCTGTGCAAAGATCGTTTGATGTGCTTAATAATATGGAGACCATTTTGCTTGACATAGTGAATAAACTACGGCCAGCTTTATAGAATCATTTGCCAATTCGTCCTCTATACATGCAAAAGAATTGGCTGAGAAATTGTCGCGAAAAATTAAAGACGACGTCTTCCAATATTTTGCCTCGCATGAAGATGGTACATATTTACAGAGAGGGACATCCGAAAATAGTAAATATGTAATCATGTGCCATTATTGCTGAAAATGTGTGCCAATAAGTGCCACTATTTTATTTCACAATTAAGTTCTGTTTTAACAGCTCCTCCCACCATTATCCCATTGTGCACTGAGAGGAATAAACTTTCTCCATCCGACTGGGATTGCTTGGCGATGGATGCAGCCCGACTAATGGCCATCTTGTGCTTTATGCCATCCTTCACCATTAAATTACGGAGTATGCACTACATTGTTAAGTAGAATTTGAAAACATGCAGAACATAAGCTTATTTATCCAGATTGCGAGGCACAGATTGATTTGCAGAGGTACACTTCACGATGTAGCATTGTTAGTTAATTGCCTATGACATGTGACTATAACATTTGAAAATAGTAGAGCTGCAGATTCCACCTTTGCCTTGTTAAAAATCACAGAAGTTGATAAAACGTATCCAAATTTCGTTACCAAGTTGAAGTATTAATTTTTTAAACCGTTATTCAGGCCAGGAGCCGTTCTAAAATTGTGCCAAAAATGTAGCCAAATAATTTCTAGACATGTCAGAAATCAATTTCGGTTGAGATGTTTCATTATTGTTTTATTATAAATTGACGAATGTCTAGGCATTAAGCGCCAAAAATCGAGTTGGAATTCCTTCATATGAAATTTTCCCTCTTCATCCACTAGTGATGTCGCAGTGGGCGTTCTTCTGATTTTCAGAATCCCTGTACTGGCAACCATGCACCCATTCCTTAACACCTGTTCCATTGTTGTCCACCAGGACAACATTCCCAGGAATGTTGTCCACCAGCCAAGGAGGTGAACAAATGTGACGGAGGTTGCATGCTGAGCACAGCGGTGGAAGGTGGAAAACAGGTCGTAAAGGTGATTTGCGACGGCAAGATGTTCGACTCCAGAAAGATGGCGGGATAAGGATTCAAATTAATTAAAATTCAAAATGTCAAATGCAAAAATAAATGAAGAAATGAATTATAATCCGGGCGAGAGAAGCCTCTTATTTTATTAACAAAATTGTGGTGCATAAATAAGCAAATTTCTTATGTAAAAATCTACCATACGCTCCATGGCATGGGAGTAAATTTTGCATAGTGAAGGAATTCGCGTTATTGTAGTTGAAAATGAGTTTGTAAATTTTGGGAAATTGAGCAAGCTTCGCGAGTCTCGTTGGCAAATTTTTCTATCAGTAAAACGGTAGCAATTTTTTCTTGCAAGTTTTAATGCATGTCAGCATCGTTTGGTATCCTTGATATCAATAATTTTAAATTGGATAAATTTCTGTGAATTGCGAGATTCTACGGAAATATCTACTCTTGGCCGTCTGTGGTTGACAATCGAGAAGAATCATAAAATAGTGGGTTTAAATAATAATATTCTGTGAACACGAAATAAATTGGTACAATATCAATTTGTGAGACAAATTTTAATAATTATTTTTTTAATGGGCAATCTGTCACTATCTAGGTATGTATGTAGGTGTTTATATAATATTAAGATTTAGTGTTGAGATATAAATCATGAAAATTTGTACATTAATATATTTCCAGAAACATGGATCCATATTGGGCTGAGCTTGTTCATCATCCTGCAAGCGCTTCAGTTAGTTTTTGGGTTTATCCTTTTGGTTTATGGATTGACGGAGGTATGCTGTATCATAAAATTATTGTTTGTATACTTAAATGCTTTTGCTGAACTTTTCTTGCAAAATTGGGATTCGTTTAAAAGTACAAACCAGAAGGTTGTTTGAGAATTTTCAGTTCAACTTATAAGTTTCTCTGGGGACAAAATATGTAAAGGTTTGTGTGCAATTGTCAGCTAAAAATTAAACACCAGTTTAGCCAGAGTTCCGCAAATAAAATGTATTAAATTTGATATGTATTTTAAATTTTGTAAAAGACTTTGAAAAATATTCTTAACTTATGCAGCACTCTATACATACACCCAACATACGCTTTTTCGACCACCCTGTATATAATTACTTTCTTCAATCTACTCGGTTTATTCTAATTAACTTCTACAAATTCGGGATTGGAATATTATTCTTTAGTAGGAAATTTTTGCTTTAAAATTGAATTGATTTCTAGATAGCGGCTGAGCGAAGCATAATCACGTCGTGGCTGACGTTGAAGGTCGTGTCGGCATTCATCTGCGCAGATCTTGATGGGACGAGTTTTAATTTCAAAAATAAGCGGACCCGTGTTTTTGCTGTCCTTCCAATACTGGCAATTGCCACACACTTGTTTTAATTCGCTCAAAAATAAAAAAAGTTACGGCGATTTTAAATTTCGGGAGTTTGTCTGGGAAAATATTTAAAAATTCCGGCACGCGCCCAAATGCGAGTATTGAATAAAGCGAAAATACGGATCCGCTTATTTTGGTGGTGAACGAATTAAATTGATCCCATCAAGATGTGAATATTACATGAGAAAACCCTGCATTGTCAGTGCATGCGAGACTTGATAAAAATAAGAGTCTCCTTTCTTACAAACGTCGTGACCCTGGAGCCCTCCTGCGCAGAGCATATCTTCTATAATGGCCAAGTCAGTTCCCCACCGGGCGATACAGTCGGGTCTGGTTACTTTAGGCAGAGTAATTCTCTGCAGTTGGAGCGGGAAACCGCCATCAGGTCTGGTCCATCCCCATCCCGCTGCGATAAGGACATCATCGTCGGCAGGCTCTTGTGCACATAGTGGAATCGTGTCTACCCTTGGGTGTTGGTCGTCAGGGTTTAGGTCGACAGCGGTGTTCAGAATGATGATGCCCACGTCTGGCCCTGTAAAATCTGGCGCTCTAATAAAAAAATTAAAAAAGGTAAAAATTCTGCCAAAACACTTCTATTTGGTACATATTTTCATTTTTTGCGTATGGAAAAAGTAGGCCAATTTTGGCAATCATTTACCTAACGTTAATAAAATGGTACCGAAAAAATGTGAAAACTAAAACACTAATGCTGGTGGGAGTTATATAAGTAAAAGCAAACTAAGTGATTTGCTGACCCGCGATATTCTGGATGTGGAATGACCCTTTGAACCGATTTTGGCTGGATAGTAGGCTCACGCGCATATATATTGTGCGCACCGGCGAGAACTAACAGCCGCCGTGGACTAATCAGCTTATCATTCTCCATGAGGCAGTGTGCCTGAAAAAGTACACCGTTTCATTACAGCCCTAGCATTTTGTGGCGTTTATCTTACCGCGGTGGCAACTCGGTCGACGCCAATGAGGGTGCCGGCACACTTAATGTTGCTTTCCCCATTACCATTTGGATTGAGTACGTTAATTGAGACGATCCATGGAAACTCGCCTGCAGCGGCGTTTTGTCCGTGTATTATCAGGGGTGTAATAATACCTGAATTGTTCATCGCGGCGGTGGAGACTGGAATTAGGAGTGCAAGATTTTATTTCCTGTACAGATGGTATGCAAGAGTAAGATTTACCGTGAAGATTGGTCACTATGTAGACCCATAATGCGAGAGTTGTCCGCATCTTGCCCTCTAGATATTGAATACTGTTGACCAAACTTCCTTAAATAGTGTTTATGTAGACAACCAACGTAAATGTATACGGGCACAGGCCGCGGAACGAGTGGGGGCATTTAACATGGTAGGATATCCTGGGGAGGGGTTTCTTAACATTGGAGGGATAGGAGGCTTCAAAATTTCCGTGGGGGCATTACCCCCAGGGTTCCGTGGCCCCTGTATACGCGATTTCTAAGAAATTGAGGCAGCAGAAGTGATAACCACTGCTTCGTATGGTCCGAATGTTAGCAAATACATAAATTGATGTCGTAATTTTCCACGAATATCAGTTAGTAAGCAGGGTTTCCAACACAGGTTTTTTGTGTCGGAGGTTTTCTGTGTATCTTGTGTAATACGGGGTATGTTGTTTGGGATTGACAAGTAGGTTATATGCGTAGATGGAGTTATGAAAGAACGTTATGTATAAAAAATCAGATGCTTAAAGCTATATATTGATGCATTAGCTAATTTAATTAAGTTCTTAGTATAATTTGTGTGCAATATTTGGTCTAATGCGATGTTTGAAACATTTCGGCAGTCAGTAGTCAGGCATGAGTATACTAAATTCGCACCTTGAAGGCACCAGAAATGGCTAAAAACTCCTTTTTTTAAATTAATTACACTAGGGTAAGTTTCTATTCCGCCATGCGATAAGACATACGAATTTCTCTTAAACCTATATTTTTGTTGGCTAAAACAAACTTATCTCATAATGTACTTCCTACAATTACTTTTTACCGGTCTTTCGAACATACAGGTCTTTTTTTTGCAAATTTTTTTGACAATAACGCCATATATGCGTTACCTTCTGAAAAAAAAAACACAAATACACACATGCCCGACATATTTGTGGCGTAAAAACATAAAACAAGTTATGCGGTAAAACCGCGATAAAATACTATTTTTTAACACTAAATAAGTTACATTACATGATTATTCACACTAATACTCGAATCTGAGACATCCCGCCATAAATAAAAAACCTGGTCGATTTCGAAAAAATTGTAAATGAGAGAAATCTAAGTTGCACCGTCCTAAAGAAGGTCCCGCTTTGTTTTAGTTAAAATATAACGGCTTGGCTGTACCTTTGATTAGAATTTGGCAACTCAAATTGCGAAACTTTTCACAAATTCGAGCGTGGCTCCGCAGGGAAGCCCTATTTCGAAAAGAAGGTCCTGACGAGTGCCTTTCCCACACCTCTCAGGATTACGATTCCGTCGAAAAAAGTCAAAACTTCGACATGTTTCTTCAGTGAGAATGAAATTACCCGAAAATCCACATTTTGAATTTTCGCGCGTCAGGTGAGCATTATTCGAATAAAATTGCCAACCAAAAGTTGTAGCTGTTCCACCTATGGATATAACCCTGTCATCAATTTTTCTTTGTCATGCACCCAAATCATTTACGGAGCTATTTAGTGATTAACGTGCATCAAACGCTAATAGGTTGGTATTTCAGAAAGTTTTCTAAATTTTGAAAAACTGTATGCGTGCTCTATACCTATATTTGAGAAGCGGTCATAACGTTCTTTCACATTATCCTCCTATCTTGTAAGGTTTCGCCACACGATCTTTTTTATTTAACATTGGCGTGTCTGCTAACATACTATACCTTTCCATAGGTCGGCAAAAAAGTGTCCTGCGTTCATTGAAATGTCCTGCGTCATATGGAAAATGTCCTGCGTCCATATGGACGCAAATCGTCCTGCGTCCATATGGACGCAAATCGTCCTGCGTCCTGTGTCCATATGGGCACTTGTCCTGCTTATCCGATTAAGCATTATCGTCGGCTTAATTTTAAAATCAGCTAAGTATAATTTTTAATTAATTCTAAAATGAGTTTGAAATTTTTCTTAATTTTAAGATGAGCTAAGTGCACGTAAATACTATGTAAAATGGCTGCACTTAGCTTATTTAAAATTAAACACAGAGTACACTTAGATCTCTTTAAAATTAAAAACAATTTCACATAGCTCATTTTAAAAGTATACAAAAATTGAACTCAGCCTATTTTTAAAATATGAAAAATTTGCACTCAGCTTATTTTAAAAATATGCAAAAATAGCACTTAGCTCATTTTAAAATTAAGTCAACGTTATGTCTATTTCGATAAAACAGTGTCGTGCGTCCTATTTTTCGTTCTGAATCCATCGACCGTTTTCAGTGTCCTGCGTCCATCGTCCTGCGTCCATCGTCCTGCGTCCATCGACCATTTTTAGTGTCCAGCGTCCATCGTCCTGCGTCCATTGGAATTTGTTAGTGTCTTGCGTCCATCGTCCATCGTCCTGCGTCCTGCGTCCATCGTCCATCGTCCTGCGTCCATCGTCCTGCGTCCATCCATCGTCCATTTTTTGTGTCCTGCGTCCATATGGACGCAAAATCGTCCATATGGACGCGTGTCCTGCCGATGTGTGTACCTTTCAAATCCAGCTAGTGGACGTAAATGGAAAAAATAGAAAAACACTGGACAAAAAATAATGAGTTGCGAACCAACTCAATGCTCAATGCTAAATGAGTTGTGAAATTTATTTTGTTTTGCAAATTGCGGAAAAAATATTACGAAGTCTGAATTAGTCAATTTAATTATTTGCAAAATATTTGCAAAATAACGAATTAAAATTAACTAATTAAATTAACTAATTCATACGTTATGCTGCTTCAGTTTTAAATGGTAACACTGCTAATTGAAAAAATTCCGACATAACAGAATGAAATAAAAAATACTCCCTTTTGTAACCTATTGTCTAAATATATTTTCAGGACGAGAAACAATGCGGTCAAAATGGATAATTTCCCCTTTCTGGACAATCTTCATCCAATTAATCGTGTTGTCCCACCTCGAGGTGAATTGTTCACAAATCACTTCAGACGATTCAACGAGATACATAACGTCGTTCATCACATTAAACGGAAGTTACGTTTGGCAAAAATACATGAATATCGACAACTCAAGAAACGCGGGATTCGTAAACCGGTCAACGAATGTAGTATCAACCACTGTCTGCAGCTATGAGGGAATTTTGAAATCAATGCAGGATTCTGAATGGGGTAAGACTTCGAGTGCAGGAAGGAATTGCGAAATTATAAAAGAAATGTTTTTAAATGAAATGTTTAGGAATCCACGGGAAGATAGTGTTGGGGATAGACGTGGTTGGCATCAACGGGAATCTCGATTACAAGTCGAAAAAAGCGTACGAGGATAGCGCGAAAAATCGTACCGTAAAAACAGTTCAAACAAATAGGACGTTGTCATTTAATGTTCACCCGTATGGAAAACAAACTTATTATAGAAGGATTTTCATTGGTCCCGGGATTTATCAGGTGCGTTTAATTAACAATTCTACACGAATTTTAGATGGTGAAAGTTATGGTGAGGAGGGGTTTATGTGGGTGAGGCGAGAAGATTTCCAAAGTTCCCGGTGGTGTATTTGAGAAAATATTTAAACTCAAATTATGACAAAATATTTATCCACCCAGTTTGAATCGGTGGGTCTAAACTATGAGGGGAACATGAGACACATGTTCACAACTAAAATTCAATTAAGCTGTATCTGTTTGTTTCCAGGAAACGGACGTTATCACAACAGACCCCAGCCCTAGATCAGATGACAATGTGACTATCAGTCTCCAAATTCGGAATATGTTGGTGTTGAAGGCCATAAAAGTCGTGTATACCACCGACTCAGTAAGTAGACCACGGGATCATATTAAAGAGTTTCATGGAGGAGATGCAGACTTTAACGCTGGCAACGGAGGAAAATACGTGTGGCTCGTCCCGGAATACACCACCGTGCACACTGACGGAATCACGGGGATGGAAATTTTTGTGGAACTTCGTAAAAATGAAAAGTTCAAAAATCTGCACCAACATGCGAACAGAAATAGTTTGGACTCCCCTTACCTCTTATTGATAAACGATACGAAGCAAAATGTTCGTATATCAGATGTAACTCTATTTAGAACGTCGTATTCAGAAAATAAAGATCCCGCTAAATATGGCTGGCCACACTGCACAGAACCCGACAGTGAATACTATCCGATACGTGATAAGGGCCGTCTTTACCTTTGCTGGAAAACTGTGGAATATCAGCGTAAGAGGAAAATAAATGTGGAGGTAATGATTCTCCTAATAATTATGATTTACAGCGCCACTGGACTTTAATGAGCCGAACGGCATTCAAAAAATTGAAATGTTAGGAGTGTATACTTGGGGTCTTTTGTTCGACATGAATGAGACGCACCAGTCAACGTTTACGTTTCGAGACGAGGTAACAACCTCAATGGATTGCAGTTACGAGAGACTTGAGAAATCCGTCGAAGAATCAGGCAAGACACAAGCAGTTAGCAGGAACCAATTTGTTCTAAATTTCATGGTATACATGTGTTTATTAGGTGGCGGTGGCGGTCTGAACTTGGGTGTACCGTTTGACATTGTAACAGTGTCTATTGGCGGCAACTAGAAAGCATCGTCAACGTACGACAACACAATTAATCAGCGGACAGAGGAGAGGTATACAAAAACGGAAATAGACACGTACGTCGTTGGACCTAACTCTAACTTGGCGATGTACCAGTTGAGCTTCACCGCTCCTGGGTTGACACAGGTGGCAACAGAAACAAACTTTATCCTACTTTTCATAACATTATTTAAATACTGTTTTTTGTAGCAAACAAACATCATCTCGACTACACCGTACGATATAGAGAGTGACCCGATAGATATCATCATTCGTCCAATTCGGGTTTTATCTGGTGTGGAAGTACTTTACAGCTACCACTCGGATGATCGAATAGGAAACTATATTCGGGAAGCTAAACACCGCGACCATTCGATCAGCTTTAATTTTAAAACCGTTCATGTTCTTCTGATGCCGAAGTGGACGTTTAACCCAAAAGAAGGCATACAGGGCCTTGAAATTGTTAAACAACGAACTGAGAATAAAAATTATAAAAATCTTACCCCCGAAGC